ATTGCGAAAGTCTGTAGATCCAAAGCATGTCAGCACTGAATGAACACAGACTCAGCTCAATCGAATCTCTCGCGAGACGCACAGCTCTCTCTCCGCGTCAGAACTCCTGTCTGGCGGCGAGCTACTCGCGTTCCATCTACGTGCGGTGGCGAGGGAAGATGGTGGTCCCAGCCCAGTTTTCGGCGGCTAGAGAGCTTCCAAGACATCGTCTTCGTCTTCGTTGCGGTCTTGAACCCGCCCCCTGCATGCTCACCGCAATCGCGCAAGCAAAATGGTGACGTGGTCGAGTCCATCGCAGAAGGCCGCAGAGACCACGTCAGCACCGAATAATTTATTCCCCAAACTACTAAACGCGGCACAGAAGCGACGTACCAATATAGCTTGTGGTGCAAAGGATGGGCTTGGTGGCGCAAAAATCTTGATTCGTCGTCGTGGTGAGAGGAGAAAGCGAAGGAGGAACGGTCACGTGAAGATGATGCGATCAAACACTGCGCGCGGCTTCTCGCGGTCTTCGATTTCGCTTGGATTTCGCGTGAGATTTGAAGGCTTGATCTCACCTTGGGAATAATTATTCCCCCTTCGACGCGTCGTGACCCAACGTAAAACGTGACTATGAAAGATTTGGGTGCATGAGCAATTTTTTCTGTGCTACATCACTGCTCTGTGATGGTGTTTTGCAGAGCATGTACGCAACAGGCCGGTGGTAATTCAACCGTGGAGTGTCTATCAGTCCTACCACAGACATCCCATCCCATCTGGACGCCATCCTAATTGTTGGCTAACTATATGAAACTCTACGGACCAATTTACCCGTCGCTTCATCATGGCACTCAATATCGCCGTTGTAGGAGTAACGAAGAACACACCGAAAAGATGACTAAAAAATCCGAACAGCTGGCAATGATGCCAAATCGGAGGACAAATCTGGCGATCAATGAGCGGAGAGTTGAATGTGAAGAAGATTCCTTTACCAGGAAGTGTCCTCACTTCCCCTCTGTGAAATCTCTCGAATTTGACTCGCGTTTCAAAGCCGTATATTGTATACTCAGGCTCTATGAAGTTCGGCTCCAAGACCGGATAGATCGAAGCTTTCAACGTTGCCCGATACGGCCTAATTTGTTCTTGATATTTCAAGCTATTCGCCATCCGAATTGCGCCCTATGTAGGGGAAGTAAAAGGAGTAGAAATGACGATGTAACATCTGCTTACGGTATCAGCCTGTTGATCCTGTAAGGCGGCTAGGTGTTTGTAGGTGATGATGTCCCACTGAGCCATGTTGAACCCAAATTTCTCAGCAGCCGTTGCTTGTTCCATGCTAGGATATCCGTTACAATGGTTCACCGACTTGGTAATGGTTTCGAAAAGATGCGCATTCTGTTTCAGCCCTTCTTGATATAGCTCCAATCGCTGTTCCCGGGTATAGATACTGAAGCACGCTGTATATTAGTCTGACTTCTTGGGATACCCTGGGCTGGGCATGACGAACCAAAATTCAAAATCCCTCTCTATCTCCATCCGATTGTCGAGATAAGTTCGCTGGTACGCCAGATAAAGTAATTTTTCCTCGATAGTGGGTAGTTTGCAGATAACGGCGAGAACCTAAGACATTAGGGATGACTGGAATAAATGTAACAGCAACTTACGGCAATGAGATACTCCACCAACAGTTTCTGAGTGGCTATGGCGAGGAGCTGAACGATTAACGGGTAAGACAAACCACTTTGTTTAGATATTCAACACCTACGGGTGCTAAAACGTCGAGAATCCGATTGAATCCATCACTGCGACTCATATAATTGTGGTCAAGAGTCATTCTCAACTGCCGTCGGCGGGGCAACCACAAATTATCATCCGGCGCAGTCACCCAGTCGAACTCAACTCCGCCGTAACACCTAGTGATTGGGACGTAAGCGCTGACGATATATGTGGATGGGCTCACTTTCGAATGGTTGTGAAACGACTCTGCCACTTCGATTCACAAGGTTCGGATTTCTCCACGATAAACTTGCTGTGGTTGTACACCGTGCGGCTGAGAACAGAATCCCCGAGTTGGGCGTGGAATTCCTTGGTTATCGCTTCGATGGATGCGGATCCTGGCAGAGCAACGCTAGCCCATCGAAGGTTCTGCTCACTGCCCACAGATGCAAAGTAAAGGCTCCCTTCGCGTGAGTCGTACTGACGGATCGCCGACGTTGCGTTGCCAATCACGAATACCATGAAATGATGCAGACACTTCTCCCCAAATGTTATGGGAGGTGTTTGATACCCTCGATATATGTTGAATGAAAAGAAAACAAGGACACAGCCAGTGGAACTCACGGATCGCCAAGGCTCTGTCCTCTGCACCAACTATCGCGGAAAGATCTTCTTCACTGGCTGCCCCAGCGTCTGTCCCTTCGATTAAGCGCCGTGGCCATAATATAGTTTCCATAACTCACTATCGACCATGGCGTCTCCCTCTTCCGTGTCGTCGCAAGTTGCAGTAGCTTTCCACTGTGTCATGGTGGTAGAAGAGAGGGTGGATAAGAGACTCTCGTGGATCTCTTCTATTGAGCCGCGACTGGTTATTCCAGTCGGAGCATATGACCCGAAGTGTGGCGCAAGCCTGAGAATGTGGGAATGCGGACCAATCTTGTCGGAATACGGTCCGGCGCGACCTTCAGAGGTTTATGTAAACGGTTTAAACCAGTGCATGCAACGGTGTACTGCGCACCTCGGTCGAAGCTATCGTTGGGCTGGCCCGCTGTCCTCGCCATTGGTAGGGGAGGAACGCCGACAACGTCTGGAGAGTTTGCAGTAAGATTGATATCTGGCGTCGAAGCGTGTGCCAAACATACCGGTCAGAACGCTGCCAGAAGCTTGACCAGCGTATTAGTTAGATGGATCATGAATATTGGGAGGCTCCACGCACTTGCGTCCGGACTCCGACCCACGGCAGTGGTACATTTGAACACATAGCAGTTTCTGCCCTCCGCGTCCGCCTTTTCCAGATGGCGTCTTGTATTCTTGTGGTTCTCCCAGTTTCTCCTGCTGTAGGTACCAAACTGTCCCAGCTTTATGACTAGGTTGCACCGAACACAGTAAACACTGTGAGGATCAATGTTGCGGCAGTCAGAGTCCGCTTCCAAGAGAGCCTTGCGCTGTTCCCGGCTCCGTGGTTCTGATATTGTACGATTCGCACCACCGGATGAGAGGCAAGACGGAGGAACTGTCGGCCCAGCACACTTGCCCAGATGGCGCTTTGAGGTCTTGTGACTGTTCCAATGCCTCCACTCGTATGTGCCCCTACCCGACTGACCCAATTGAATAGTGATGTTGCACGGGACGCAGCGAACGCTGTATGGAAGAACCTCGCAGCAGTCAGGGTCGTCTTCCAGAGCAGCTCTTCGCTGGTTCTCGCGTTGAGATAACCTGAGACTCAGAAAGTGTGAGACAGAGAGAGTTCCTGTTCCAAATGACATGATGCAAGGATAGCTCAATCTCAGCGGTCGTCTTCTTCCGCTATAAATGAAAATCCTGGGTGACGGGTGATTCCACGGCGTCTCCAGATGCGGAAGCGACGTTCTGCATAACTCGCCGAGGAACGAGGAGCTAAGGATTCAATTGGTTGGCCCACAGAAAGAAATTCTGTGGCGCAACCGTGGGAAGAGTCCTCTACATTATTGTGGCGTGGCAGTGTGGACCTACAAACTGCTTCTCTCGTTAGCGATATCATACCATACGATGCTTGTTTTCTCTTAGCCTATCATCGGCGGCCCTGTCTAGCCGTGCCGTTGAGAATATGCTCTTCACCCCTTGTGTCCTTCGCAATTACGCTGCAACGTGGTCTTATACACAGTTACAACAATCTTTTCACACGTGCCCCGTGTGTGCAAGCAAATCCACAATCACTCTCGATGGCCCTTGTGGCAATGCTCGTTGCCAGGTTTTGAGGATTCCTCATCTGGAAAGTTTTCCGACGGAAGACCTTGCGGACCCACAACACTCGAGCCCAGACTAATATTGAAGCGGATCACAGTCTAGTCGTCCTGCTCTCGTGATTTTTTGCCGTTGAACTCCGTGGGCAAAATCCTAAGGCTGAAGAAGAGAATAACAAGGTGGTCGGCGATTGGTCAATTGTCGAATTCAGCCTGGGCTCTAGGGTCTGGTTTTCATAGCAACTTTGGAATGCCGGATCCGGCATTGCCGGCAATACTCACGCCGAGAGTTCACACAATGATCATCACTGCTTGATGACTGGTGCCGCAAACTACCGAAGTACTGGTCGAACTGTGGATGATATTCCGGAGATCCTCGAGCCATCTGCACTGGATTGGGACGAAGTTTCAGAACGAATGAGAGGAGGTGAATTGAGGAAATCTTGACAATCACAGCCGCATTGATGAGCACTGTCGGCGATCAATTTTCGAGCCCCTGACACTTACCACATTTTCGGGGGTGTTGAGCCGCACTACGACGCCACGCTCGTAGTTGGTGACTTGTGAGGGGTGAGTAATGAGGCTGAGGGAGCGAGAAGCTGGAGCGAAATGGCAGAGAGGCAGCATGTAAGAATCGCGATTGAGAATTGAGGGACATGCAAAGTAGCAGGAGGGATCGTACCGTCGACACCGGTGAAAGGCCGCTCTCGGTCATCGTCCCCCATGTTCTCGACGTCAAATTGTGCAGCCTCACGTAGAACTACGCATGAGGCTTGCTTCGAGGTTCGATCATCCCGTCCTTTCCTCCGTTTTCACCCTTTCCGCCGTTTACCTCGCACAGCACGCCGCACTATGAAAGATAAGCATAGAAGTCATGCCCATGCAGGCGCGAAGACTTAGCTCCAAAACAGCAGACAGATGAAACTTGCACACACCAACTCCCGACTTCCCTCCACATGGATTCGCATCGACAACAAAGGCCACCGGCGTCTCGCTCACTCGCAGCAAAATGGTACCACATCGCGAGAGCTGGTCCGATTATGGGACTGGGATTCAGGTCAAAGGAGATGTTGCATCGCCACATGCGTCCGCCGGGAGTCGAACCCGGTGCTAGGCCATGATTAAATCAGTTCGCTCCGAACATGGGAAGACCCAATGTTACCGATACACCACGAACGCATCGAGTGGGAATATTCAGAAGAATGTCACAGGACAAGCCAGATCTTACCGGCCTAACCACCATGTCCTTCCGGTGTCCTTGGGATCGAGGAGCTCGGAGAGGTGGATCGACGCGTCTTGGCGAGGGCCGGAATCAAGGTGCTGATGCGCAAGCCGGCGCCGGCGCGAGAGGTGCATCTGGCATCAAGAGGAAGGCCCACCTAGCGTAGTCCACAGCGCTCGCATTCTGCGTCCGAAATCCTTTCGCCAGATGCAGGCGGTGGCGATGGCTCACGGACGCGTTTCTGGCGTGCGCTCCATTTGCGTGCTGCCAGCGAGGAACAGTGGCCGGACCCCGTTCTTGGGCGGCGGGGGGACGTCGACGACTTCGTCTTCTGCTTCGTCGCGGCTGATGACCATGAACTCGTGGGTCATGCACCTGCCTCCTGCATGCTCACCACAATCGCGCGCGCAAGGTCCGCATCGTGGTGACCTGGTCGAATTCATTGCAAAAGGCTGCAGATTCCACGTCAGTACCGAATAGACTCACGCTCAGTTCACGAGCGAAGTACAAATCGCGCTTGTAGCTTGAAGTGTACCGGCGCACGAGTCTTGGTCGTTGGTGGAGAGAGGAGAAAAGAGGAGCGATCACGTGAAGATGATGCGATCAATTGCGACGCGCGGCCCTCGTCGCGTCAACTTCTCAAGTTCTCATGAGCAATTTGTAATCTTGTGCTCACCTTGGGAAATACTAAATAGTTCCGCAGCACTCAAATATATGTTAACCCCAATGCAGAACAAAAAAACCCGTCACATACAGCCTACGATTTGAATTGCCGTACGTCCGATGGACTGCTAGTTTTACTCGGAATGCTGCGCGGTATTCAATGGACCCAGTTCGAGTGTTACTTGCAGCTTGGCAGTATCCACCGCTTATACCGTGAGTTGAACACCCCACGTGCGCGCATAGTAAATAAAAAGCCACCACAAAATCCTAAATTACAGTGCCTTGGATTGGTTGTTCTCCACAAATAGATGGGCAGGTATTGCTCCTCTGAGCGGCTCTGGTGCGAAAAAGGAAATATGGAGAATGACAGGGACCTAAGGGTCTTGGGGGAGTCGAACCCTCGCCGCGCACTTACGTGACGACCGCTTTCGCATGGATGCGAATGGTGCGCGGTATCCGACAGACCCTTGCATTTGGACTTTCAGCCTGCTACATATGAGAGACCAGTGAAGATGCAGGTAAGGTGTGAGAAACTCACGGGCGAGAGAAACGACCTACGATTCGTGAAGGTGAAATTCCTCTTCTGAGCTGTTCAGCAGCAAAAGGTACAGAGCAAAAAATCGGTCTTGGGGGGAGTCGAACCCCCGCCGTGGGTGAACATGCCTTATCAATGCCTCTCGTGGATGGATGGCGCGCGGTATCCAATAGACCCTTGCTTTCTATCAGAGGCCAGTGAACGAATGCCATCGTGATTGCCAGAAATCGATATTCCCAGTCTCAACAACGCAACTAATCCGGTGAGAAAATCGAGTGCAAGAGAAAGAATCCTACCTACAATTCGTGAAGTTATAATTCCTCTTCTGACCTGTTCAGCGCCAAAAATACAGACACAAAAACGGGCCCTGGAGGATTCGAACCCCCGTCGCGTACGCATGCTATTGGATTTTCCTTTTATGGATGGGACGCGGTATCCGACAGACCCTTGCTTTTGACCTTTGAGCCTGCTATCAGAAGGTAGCTGGCAAAAGATATTTGATTGCGAGCAATTGATGGAAACTCAAGGAAAAGAGTACAGAACCCAACCTTGGTATCGGTCACATCTTCTACCTTGTTCAGAAGCAAAACACACACCGACAAAAGACCCAATTCTATACTTCTCAATCATCACATCTAGGTTCCAATCCCGAATCGCGCTTCTAGCTGATCCCGCAAACCCAGCCATCAACCCTAACACCTGAACAAAAGCGCTTCCTGCGTCTAGAGTACACCCAACGCGTCAGTCTCGAGGGGAAACAAAGCAAAATAGCAAAACGAAATGGAACACTGAAAAGAAGACGAAGCGAAAGTACCTAGGCACGTCCTGCCATACCGTCTCGCACGCCGCACCTACACCATCGCGCGCTGCACGTCCCCGGGGATGTCGAGCAGCGCTACGATGCCGAGCCCGTAGTCGGTGATTTGTGAGGCGCTGAGTGCGGGGCGCGGGTGAGACCGAAGGAGCGGGAAAGCGGGAGCGAGAGGGCGACTGAACGATTGAGCTAGTGGGCAAGATCGGCGAATGAGTGAATTGAAAGGATAACAAAAGTAGCAGAAGAGAACGCACCGTCCACACTAGCGAAAACCCACTCCCGCTCACGCGTCGCTCCTTCGTATTCGCCTCGGTGTTTACCACACGCAGCGCGCCGCTCTTCGAAAAGAGGATCATAACCTTGCTGGTCATGCCGCGGCGGGTGTTGTACAGCGGGGGAAGACGTGCACCCAAGTGGGGAAGATGTCGTTGAGGGTCGGGCTGCGAAGCTTTAGCAAGAGAATAGCAGAGACATGAGACACGCACGCATCAGCCCCACGTCCCATTCATATGTATTCGTAACACAGACCACTGGTATCGCGCTCTGCTCCAACTTGTAGAGCTACGGCGCATCGAATACGAGCGCACTGAGAATCGCGAACGATACAGTTAGGTCGTCGACCTTTGGGACGAGGAGCTCGGACAGGCGAATCGGCCCAGTCTCGGGGAGGGCGGTGTCAGCGTGTTGGGGGGGTCAACGCGAGGAGGGCGCCGGTGGGGAAAGTGAGTCTGGAGCGGAAGAATACACACCGAGTCTCGCGCATTAGCGTACTGCTCTCGCTCTCCGCCTCTGGAATCCTTTCACCGGACGCAAGCTTGATGCCAGCGGCGGCGACTGTGTTTCTGACGAGTGAGCCGTTCGTGCTCCATTTGCGTGGGGCAGCGGCGGGACTTCCACGACGCGGTCTTCGAGTTCGCCGCTGGTGATAACGCACCGGGTCTGCCCCGCTTCCTGCATGCTCAGCGCAATCGAGGTTCCATCGTCGTCTGGGTCCAGCGCATCGATTCGCAAAAGGCTGCGGGTACGACGTCAACGCGTCAGCACCGAATCAACTCACACTCAGCCCAGAAAAGGCGCATCAACCGCGCACGTACGCTGTAGTTGGCTTCGTCGCGCAAGAGTCTCAATCCGTCGTCGGTGGGGAGAGGAAAAAGAGCAGGAGGAACGATCACGTGTGATGATGCCATCAAACGCGACGCATGGCTTCCTCGCGTGCGCTTTCGCAGTACTTTCGCGTGAGGATTCCTGGTCCTGGTCCTCAGAGGAATTGAAGGTTTGGGCTCACCTTAGATGGAGTCAATAATCATTTGCTACTTGCATGTAAGTTCTTGGCAGGAAATAGAGAGAAACCATCACCTCCAGCGCCAAGCGTAAGTGCCGCGGCTTCGAACCGCCGCATACACGTTGTGTGTCAGAGAATTGGCACGCGTACTGGTAATAAATACAATCGCCACAAAATCCTACCCAGATTGCTTCGTTATCGGCAAATCGGCACGCTCTTCTGATTTGTTCAAGAGCAAAAACAAGAAATATGACCCATTTGAGGCGGATAAAGTAAGGGTCTGGAGGGAGTTGAAGCCCGTCGCGCACGAACGTAGGTGGTTTTTGTGGATCGATGGCGCGCAGTATCCAAGAAATCCTTCTTTTTGGACCTGGAACCGCCGCACTAAACACTTGATAAAAAAGTTTGAGTGACGTTAGGCGGGCGGCCCGCCCCCACTATATAACGTTCTGCCTCTTCAGAACTTTTCAGGAAAACATCCTCGTCCACTACACAGCCAAGTCGCGGGCCGAGATGGTTGCCGCGCATTGCGGCAATTGCCCCAAACTACCTAGCCCTATGACGACGGGGAAAAGCACCCGAATGACGAATCCCTGCACCCGCGAATGCCGAATTCTTCGTTACCTGTTCACTTATCTCCCCCAAAAACCTGTTGACATAGTCCACCCCTGAGTCTGTACATCAATGGCGCGCCGTTGCTCTACCAAAGCCTCGTTGCATCGATTCCAGATCGGAGGAACAAAAAAATCCCTTTCGCCATGGATCAGAATGTTCAAGTTGTTGTATGTCAGTTCTCACGCTCACGTCTTCTGGTCGTCAAGGGCTTTCTATTCGCTATCCATTCCATATACTTGTTGGGCGGCTATCTATCAGTCTAGTTCTGGGCCAGTGGTGTGGGTTTGTACTGCCTTGTCTGTTGTGTGTCATCCAAGCCTAGGGCGGATGTATAAAGCCGTCTGGTTTGTCGCTGGCACATCCAATTGCCCGTCGTATCTCAAAAGCACCTCGTATATCTCGATATTGCCTAGCTCACATCTTGATCTCCGCTCCATGAAGCTTCTCCCTCCACGCTTCCTGACGTCCATTGCCGGATATAGACTAGGATATAGTCCACAACGGGGTGCGCCCAAGTGTTATTCACAACTTGAACCCACAACTGACGCATGACTTGCGCCGTCGTAGCATATCCTTGGCGGTGGGCCACCCCAGTTGGGCTCGGAGTAGTACTGACAAGTACAGCCCTTCTCACTTGCGTGAATAGTGCGTCTGTCCTTATGGATCTCAATTGAGCTTGAGCATCATGTTCTAGTTCCATTGGCCGCCTACGACGTTGTACAAGAGCTCACATACTTTCCTAATGCCACATTGGCCGACCTTCCCATGAGTAACCTAATCCCTTCTTTTCTTCGGGATCGCACAGTCTCCTTCGCACCGCAAACCTGGAGTATCGGTGATACATTCCGCCTGAACAACTCCATCTTTCAGTTCACCATCGCAAGTGCCTTCGATCCGGTGGACAACATGAAGCCGGTTAATTCTTTCTCCTACTCGAACGTCGGGTTCTCAGATAACTGCGATGTGGTGCGCAGCTTTGCCTCTTCAGAACATAGCATCCACGACCCACATCAATAATTTAATGTAGACCAATATCACGATCAGTGTT